AGTTTCTTTCAGAAGGCATTACACTGACAGTTATAAATACCTCACAAGAGCTCTTTGCCAAATATTTTGATGCACACACACACACTCTCTCTGCCTATTAGAAGGGTTGATTAATGGCCACTTTTTATTTTTTTTTCCTGCTCCCATCTGCCTTTCTTCCAATTTTGGATTGTTGAGTGATTAGTTTCATAGAGGAGCATATGAGAGAGAAAGAGATGAGAAGAATTATCTAAAAACATCAACGGCAATTAAAAGAGAAGCAAAAGAATTCCAACTGAAATTTAGTCTAAAAAACCAAATCTGAAGCAGATTTGAGGGTTTCTCCTTAGACAAAACGTCAAAGGAATGTCACATGAAGGCCCAAAATGTCTCTGGAAGTATTGATGAAATTTCTCCTGGAGGTGCAGTTTGTTTATCTCTACACTACACCCACGTTTTGGTGAAATCAGTTGGTGGATTCTTTGTCAGCCCTAATACTCAGGAGGTACAAACTGAAGTATGAAATGCTAGCTTTCTATGTGCAGGGTTTTCAAGGAGTAGACCCTAAAGTCCAATTTTATCAAGAGGCAATCCGATCTACACATTCTGGTTTTGTTGTACATTCATAATTCCACAGAGATTTGCTGCTGAATATTATCTTTGCCTACATCTTCTGGCTGAGGAAGAATCTGTACCTCCACTTGACCAAGGGCTTCTTCTTTGTAAGCACAGTGAAAACACTCTGTAAAATTTCTCTGACGCAGAGAAGCTGCTTGATAATTTGTTGTTGTTTCCTGTTACTGAGTTGTTTTTGACTTATGGTGACCTTAATCATGTTTTTAAGGTATGTGAAATATTCAAGTAATGGTTTACCATTAGTACCCACTGGTGAGTTTCCATGGCTCAGCAGGGATTTGGACCCAGATTGCCTAGTCTCTATCTATTACACTAGTGGTTCCCAACCTTGGATAAGCCAGGTGTTCCTGGACTACAGTTCCCAGAAACCTTCACCAACAGCTGTGCTGGCCAGGGTTTCGGAGAATTGCAGTCCAAGAACACCAGGATTACCCAAGTTTGGGAAACCCTGCACTATATCATAGTTCAGGCTTCCCACCTTGTTGGAAGCAAAGCAAAAAGCAAAGTGTGCTGCTTATATACCGCCCTATAGCACTTAAAGCGCTCTCTGGGCAGTTTACAGCTTGCTTATGCAGGCTACACAATACACACATCCCTGCAAGCTGGGTACTCAATTAACCAACCTTGGAAGGATGGAAGGATGAATAAGCTGCCTACCTGGGATTGAACCTGGATCATGAATGGAGTTTTGGCTGCAGTACTGCAGTTTAGTCACCGTACCATAAGGCTCCTACTAAGCAAGATGGATTGTTATGATTAGAGCCCTATAACCTCACTGAACTGGATGGGACGTATTTCTGAGATATGTACAGGATTTCATTGTAAGGCAGAGCTTGGGAGAAAATAGTTACAAATCAGCAATTATTTGCAATTCTTTCCCCAGTAACTAACTAGAGTGAAATGTTTGCTAGATTGTAGCCTAAATCTGATAGCTAGTCCCAGACAGAGTAGACCTACTGAAACAGTGGGATATTTGTAAGTATGGATTTACCATTGATCAATTGATTCAGTGGGTCTAGTTGAGTTAGGAGTAGCAACAACTAGATTTAAGCCAGCACTTGTTCCTTAATGAGGGATAAGGAAAAGTTACTGCTTTGGATTCCAGCTCCCAGACACCTCCAACCAGTGAATAGATTCATGGGAGTTGTAGTCTTTAAACTCCATGTAACTGTAATTTTTATGTTTATATGTCTGGATAGCTCAGTGGCCTAGGTATCTAGCTGTGGAGCCAGAGGTTGGGGGTTCGATTCCCCCTGTGCTCTCCTGTGAGTAGAGCCAGCCTGTGTGGCCTTGGGCAAGCTGTACAGTCCCAGGGCACCCCAGAAGAAGGGAACAGTCAACCACCTCTGAGTATTCTCTACTTGGAAAATCCATGATGATGGTTTATACTTAACAAGTCTGTGACCTCACTAAATGATGGACTATTACAAGGTTTGAGAGGCAGCCTGTCCCCTTTGCTGTGCAATGAAAAGCTGACATAAAAACTCTCTTCATCATATGCAGGAAGCGGATTTTGATCCATGAGACCTTGCACATAAACAAATCTGTCAGTCTTTAAGGTGCCACAATATTATTGTTGCCATAATGTTTTGTCGTCCCTCCCACCCTATTTTGCCAACATAAAAGAATTCTGAGAGACTAGGAATTTCTTGGAGTGAGAAAATAACCAAGGAACAAGCCAAGTACAGGAAGGGGAAATTCTTGACTGAAGGTGTTGATTCGAGTGAACTGCAACACCATTGCTTAGAGCTGCTACATGCGAAGTCAGAATAGCTTTGGTGCCACCTAATCTCCTATAGAGGAGGAACAACAAAACTAAATGTAACTAGTTACTTTCACGAAATGGGAAAGGAAAGTGTTACTTTTTCAAAACTATATCCATAATAGTAAATAGCTATTTGCTACCTGGGACTATAAGTAATTACATGTAAAACTAGGTTTCCCAGTACTCGCACCAGCTGGTTTCCTATCCTTATGATATATCTTTGGCAGGAGGACTAAAAAGCTGTAGTTTGTGCTTCAGGGCAAAAAAACCCCCATAGATTAATTTCAGCAGTCACACAAACACAACACACACATACACACACAAACTAAATATTGGTGTTAATCTTTGATTTAGAGAACTAAAGAAAATCTGATAAAGAACATTGGCTGTGTCAGTCTGTGCAAAACAAATGGGAACTTGAAGAAATTGTCTTCTTGCCATTGAGAAATACAGCACAAGGAGCTGTCTCCATCAATTCTCATTAGCTGTTCTTGTGCTGCTTCACCCCATAAAGCCAATTTGCTTTTTTGAACTCTTATCTGTGATTTCCCCCCACTCCACTTCTGCT